CGGGGCCATCTCCAGTCATCCTGATGTGTGTCTGGCTACGGGACCCAGAGGGCTCTGGAGGAGAAAGTGACGCTGGTGACTTTGTACAGCACTCTCCCTCACTTAAATCCAATTCACTTGCATGTCATGGCATCACCTCCATGATAATATGGTCCTCCTCAAGAACAAAGGACAAACAACCCTGTGAGGAAGGAACTTCAGGAGTCATCTAGTACAACCCATTCACATTTAACAGAGGACAAAACTGAGAAGTGATATGTGCCACCTGCCTGGGCAGCTAGGTAGCACAGTAGATAGAATGCTGAGCCTGAAGTCAGAAAGATTCATCTTCCTGAGTTCAAATCTGGTCTCAGACACTTATTAGCTGTGTGCCCCTGGACAAGTCACTTAATCACATTTGCCTCAGTTTCCTCATCTGTAAAATGAACTGGAGAAGGAAATGGCAAACCACTGCACTGTCTTTGCCAAGAAAACCCCAAATGGGGTCATGAAGAGTTGGACATGACTCAACAACAACAACAACATATCCATTGCTAAGTCATTTAGTACATTTATATAAGCTATTATTTCAAGGGCTCTGTAGTCAGAGATGCTGCCCTGAGACTTACTATCCTTGTGGGCTTGGTTAAGTCAGTTTCCTTGGTTTCTTTATCTGTGAAATGAGGTAGATGGACTAAAAGACATCTAGGGTCCCTCCCTAAGGTGATTTGTTCTGTGAAGTTTGGATTCAGTCAAGGGGCCACACTTGTGGACCTAGATGGCCACATGTAGCCTCCAGGCTGCAGGTTCCCCACAGCTGGACGGAGAAAATAAGTTAATAAGTTCATGTAAGTTAAACAAGGGATTCAGAGAAGAGAACAGAATTAGAAAACAAAGGAGGGAATGGACTATGGAGGAGTGGATATGGATGAGAGTTCAAGGAAAGTTAGGAGGGGTACATTTTCCCTCAACAAATGGTAACCCAATTACAGGGATTAGGGAGAACAGGATGGTGGCACTAGAGAGCCACAGAAAAGGTTAATCAGTTAATCAGAACCCTCCATCCACTGTGACACCAAATGCCCTTTTTGTACAGTCACTTCAGTCTGTGACCCCCTAATGAGGTTTTCCTGGCAAAGATGCTAGAGTGGTTTGCCATTTTCTTCTCCAGCTCATTTTGAAGAGGAGGAACTGAGGCAAACAGGGTTAAGTGACTTGCCCAGGGTCACACAAGCTAAGAGGTGTCTGAGGGTGGATTTGAACTCAGGAAGATGAGTCTTTCGGACTTTAGGCCCAACACTCCATCCATTGTGCCACCTAGCTGCCTGCCCCCTTCATCCCTATAGGCCTCAGTGTATAAAATTAGGAGACTGACTAGCTGACTTCTAAGGACCTTTTCCAGGTTTAACACTGTGGTGGGACAAAATAAGGCTAATCTTAAGAAACACTTTGAGGCATGATTGATCAGAAAGCATTCCTGACTCTACCTATAACCAGCCAAGTTGAAATCCCTTCACCTCTTGAGCCTCAGTTTCCTTCCATGTAAAATAGGAATAATACCTGTACCCTGTACCTCTTAAGGTACAAATGAGAATTTTATAAAGCATATAAAGCTCTACATTAAGATAAGCTACTGCTATTTCTCAAAGATATCAATTCTATAGCCATTCAGACCAAGGAACACAGGAGTTGTTTGGCAGACCTCTACTAGTATGCTAGGAGCAGGGGGCAAGGTGGAGATGGGGAGAAAATAAGGGCAGAAAAAACCTTGAAGATAAGATACTATTACTTTGGCAAAGCCTTCAGATTTCAAGGAGGAGGTATTCAGAATCAGTCATACTTTTCTGATAGCCTTTATTAGCCAATTAAATAAAATCTGAGAGGTGTGAGCAGCATGAATTAAGACTTTAGCACTAAGCCTTCTTTGACAGGGAGTCAGTATAACACAGATGCAATCTGAGCAGTCACTATTTGTGAATCAAGAACTATCACTGAATTATGTAGAAAGCCTTTGAGGATAAAAGATAAAGAAAGCCTTATTCAGCAAGCTGCTAAAAATGCCTTTACCTAGAAGCAACACATCTATCTTATCTAGATTGAGCTTCAGCCAGTATGTTCTCATGTATGTTCCTAACTTGGCCAGACTTTGGTTGGGTCAGGCAAAAAAAAAATCTTTCTCTCTCTCTCTCTCTCTCTCTCTCTCTCTCTCTCTCTCTCTCTCTCTCACACACACACACACACACACACACACACACACACACACACACACACACTCCCACCCTCTAGCACTATACTCATCACAGGGCTTACTTGGATGGGAGTTAGAGCAGTAGAGAAAGAAGGCAATTATCTCCCCACCCCCAACCAGTATCACATCAGCACTATCCAGCCCTATTTTTCTACCATTTCCACAACAAGGCAATTCATGGTGGCTAAATTTGAGTTCACAAAGAGCACAGGCATTAAAAAAAACTTGCATAAATTACATTTCAAGTAGAAAAGTAGAGAAGAGCTGAAAGAGAGGAAAGTGTAGATCACATACACATTTTAATTTGCATCAGAAAAAAGAAAATTCAGATTTTTTTTTGCTTGCAGTACATTTAAAAATTCACAAAGAATAGTTCCTTTTCAAGATCAATAGCTCCTACAGGCAATACTCACTTCCCCTACCCAAAAAGTCTACAAAACATTCCCATACAGAAAGTAGCTGGGTGTCATAAACTCATCATTTTAGCCATCCCCATGCTTTAGTGGCTTGTTATTAAAAAATAATGGGGATCAGGGACTAAAGACTCCTTCTAGGCATTGGAGTCAAAGATCTATAATTTTATGGGTATGCATAACACTTCCATAGACACAAACTGTGACTCCTCTGCCATTTAGAAGAGGATGTTCAAGAATTTGCCATATCCTAAGGTCAAGCAGGGAAGAGCCTGTCTGACAGATCTACAGTCTATCACCCAGCTAGTACTTGAAGTCTTTCCTGCTTATTAGGAATTTCTGGAGCCTGGGGCTCAGCCCCTGAGAATCCAAGCTTACCTTTACCACATTAAGACACTAGAAGATTATTCTCAAAATTTTATCATGCACATCCTCTCCAAATACCATAAAATATCATCCTACATTAAGTCTGTCCTTTTTTTTACAATTTTGACATCATAACATCAGGAGAGTATGAGCTTTCAGTGTTTTTTTTTTCAGTAACAGGGATAGGATTGTGTTAAATCAGCTTAGTCCTCATCATAAACCAATGATATTCACTGGCAAGATACCCAGGAAGAATCCTAGAATTCAAGGTGTATTGTACAGCTAGGTCTTCAGAGTTAGTTGTATATACTCAAACAGCTTCACACACACACACACACACACACACACACACACACACTCTCTCTCTCTCTCTCTCTCTCTCTCTCTCTCTTCACTTTACAATCATACTTTGCTTTTTTAAAAGCCTGAAAGTAGTAATAACTTATATCACTACCTTATTTTCCATCCTTGACTATGAATAATTTGTTTCCAAAAGCCAAATCACTCCTCTAAAGACATTTGTCACCACTGAGGATACTCAAGATTAAGTTTAATAGAGACCTCAAAACTAACTCCAAAGGAGTTGAGCAAGTGCTCTGAGCAATGGTGACATAACTTTAAGTAATTAATGTTTACTCTGAAGAGGTTAAGAGTCAATTGTGTATGTACAAGTACTAGTACATTAATTTTTAAGTCATCCACATACAAACACATCAGGCAAAAATTTGCCCTGACCAATAATATTTTGCAACATCATTAGCAAATTACAACCAAACTTCATTGTAGAGTTGTGAAACTCCACTTTATATAACATTGTTAGGCTGATGGCCCATTGATATCATTGTTTCTATAGAGCTAACTGCTCCCATGGTGTTTTTTATTTAACATAATGAGTTATAGGAAAACATGTAGGACATTAGGTAAGCTATGCCGGTATACCATTACGTGTAACCACGCTTCAATATTCCTTAATAATGGTTTTAGGAAAATCACATGTAATTAAATTCCTAAGATAATCTTCAAACCTAATATTGGTTAGCAATACAATCCTTCCACACCTAAACCTTTCATTTAAGCTGCTAACAAAAGCAGTTGGACTGATTTCTAGTTCACCTTTCCTTTCTGGTCTCTTTCTGGGACTGACTAGCACTAAATAAGTCTAAGGAACAGACTGAAGAAGCACAAAGTCTGGAAAATCCATGAACTGGATGTGTCCCTAAATAATCAAAACTGGTTATAAATATACATAAAAATAACTTCAAAGTTATGTATCCATAATGAGTTATATGTCCAGAAAGAGAAATTGGTATAGAATAACATGAAGTTATGGGGGGTGGGGAAGGCACTTTTATATAAAAGCACACATTTATGCCAAAATCTTGCATTTTATGATATCTTGCTAAGAAAGTATATTATAGGTCTTCACTCACAATGGCTAAGTTTGAGTTTACAAAGAGCATAGGGATTGAATAAAAACCCCACATAAATCATATTTCAAGCAGAAAAACAGGGAAGATCTGAAGCAAAGTAAGGAAGGCATAGACCACATACAGAAGAGAACTTTACCTTAGAAAATCAGAAAAACAACAAACTTTTTATCTTACTATCTTTTCACTCAGATGCATTCCCTTTAGTTAGAACAAGGGTTCTTAATCTGTGGATTAATTTTGGGGAGTCCATGAACTTGGATGGGAACAAAATTACATCTTTACTTTCACTATCCTCGGACTAAAATTTAGCAATTCCTTCAATAATGTGAGGAGGAGTCTACAGGTTTCATCAGACTACCAAAGGGATCCTTGGCACACAAAAAATGTTTAGAACCCCCTGTTTTTCAAGTGGCTTTTCTCTTGCCTCATGACAGGAAAATCTTATTGGGTTCCATTTTTCAGTTAAGGTTGAAAGAATTGTTGGATATCAACTACCTATCCTTGACACTAGAATACATTAATTACCATTATAACCAACATATTATTTCTTTAAAAATCGATTACCTATGTTGATTGCTGTTTCCTGCTTATCTCCAGTTAGGATCCATATTTTAATTTCTGCTTTCATTAGTGTTGATATTGTTTCTGGAACACCCGCCTGAAGACGATCCTCAATGGCTGTAGCTCCAAGGAGCAGGAGATCCTAATTTTTTAACAAAAAAGTTTTTAAGCAGTTACAGGTCTGAATATACTCAAAGGTAGAATCAACAATAGAAAATCCTGATGAGGTATATTGTCTAAATTCATTCCTACTTCAGTATCTAATGTACTAGCTCCAATGATTAATGGTACACAAATGGTTTGGATCTCATGGGCGTCAATGTTTCAAAATCAAGTAATGTTGGAACTATCCAAAGCACAATGGCCATGTCAGACAGAATGGATATCATCTGGTCTTGTAACTGATGAGCAAAATCTATGTCTTTTTAAGACCCATTTAACTAGGCATTTAAGTACTGGAGAGGGATAAGGAATCCCATCTATTATTCCATGATGCATATTCATTGTAATCAACCATGAGATGTAACCAAATTTTCAAACACTTGGGACACATTTTTGGCAAGACAAGTATCAAAAAAGATCCTGTGGCACTAATGCTCTGGATCACAGAATTGAGAAAAACATATCAAGTCTGAAATTCAGTAAAATACTGCTCAATATAATCATTAATGCCTCAGTGAGGAGCCAAATACAGGTATTTTTTTCAATTGCGGGAGGCTGAATGAAATAATGAATGCAAAACACTTTGCAAAGAAAGTGCCAGGGAAATGTGAGACATTATTATAATTATCATCATTACTGAGAGGCACCTAGAAGAGTGGATAGGGAAATGGTCTCAGGGTTAGGAGGGTTCAAGTACAGCCTCTGATACTGTGTGTGTATGTGTGTGTGACCTTAGGCATGCATTTCAACTTCTCATGACTCCAGGCAACTCTAATTCTGTAAGTTGCTAAATAGCAGTTCACCAGAATTGGTAAGAATTCTTCAGCACCCAACCCAATGAAATCACTGATCAAAAAATATGTGATTAATGGATAGCCTACCTTTTGACCAATTAGTATGGCTCACATACTGATACCTTTGAATAGAAGGTCTGAATCTTTGTATCTCAATCAATTAATAAGCATTTATTTGTTAAGTGCCTACTATGTGCCAGGTGCTAGGGATATTCAAGTACAAGGAATTAAGTAATCGCCACTCACAATAAGCCTATGTCTTAAAGGGGGAAACAAGTGTAAAAATGTATGCAGAATAAGTAAAAAGTTAATAAATGCAAATATATACAAAATGGTTAAAAAAAAGGTATTTTGGGAAGGAGGACACTAGCAGTTTGAGGCGATCAGGAAAGGCTTCAGGGGGAATGAGGTACATACAGATGAACTTAAAGGAAGAGAGAGACTGTGAGGCAGAGATAAGAAGGGAGAGCATGCCAGGCACACGGACACGTAGTACAAAGGCACAGATATGGCAGATGGGTTGTTGTATGTGAGGAAGAGAGAGAAGGCCAGCTTGGCTGGATTGAGGCATGCTCAATGAGGCTGAAAAGATCAGTTGTGGCCAAGTTGTGTAAGGCTTTAAAAGCTAAACAGAGGAGTTTCTATTTCATCATAGAGTCAGTAAGAAGCCATTGGAGGTTGAGTAGGGAAGGCACATGGTCAGATCTATAGTTAAGGAAAATTATTTTGGCAGCAGCATGCAAGCTGTGCTTGGAGGGAGGAAAGACTTAAGGCCAAGACCAATTAGGAGGCTGTTGCAAAGATCTAGGCAAGAGGTGATGAGAGCCGGAGTGGTGGTAGTGATGTGAGTAAGGAGGCAGATGAGAGAGATGTTGTAGAGGTAGAAATGGCAAGTTTTGGCAATTAGTTATTGGATAGGTAGGGTGTGAGGAGTCCAGGCTAACAAACACCATGATTACAAACTTGAGACATTGGAAAGATGGTGATTCCTCCAATAGAAACAAGGAGGTTTTGGTAGAGGGTTTAAGGAGAAAGATAATGAGTGCAACGTTAAATCTAAGTTCAAGATGTCTGTGACAATCCAGTCTGAAATGTCCAGTGAGCAGCTGGTGACACATGATTAATGGTCAAGGCAGAAGGGCTAGATATAGAAACCTGGGCATCATCTGCATAGAGATGATAGGTAAACCCACTGATGAAACTACCAAGTTAGAAAGAGGCAGGAAAAGAGGCCCTAGGACAGAACCTTGCACATGCACAGATTGGATGACAAGCTAGCAAAGGAGACTGAAGAGATCTCAGGCCTATCATGTCCCACTTTACCTTTATAGGCTAGCAAAGACTGCAAATTCTTGAGTTACACAGGAACTTTTTAGGTCATCTAGTATTGCTCCCTTCCCCACCCCCCACCCCAAATGCCCCCTCTGCCCATGTGTAGATGATCCCCTCAACACCATTTCGGACAAGTAGTTAGCTGGCATTTACTTAAACATTTCCAGCAACGGGAGCTCGTGCCACTAGAACACTGGTTCATTTCTACACACTTGTAATTGTTAGTAAATTCTTTCTACTGAAGGAATTTATATTCCTATCACTTCCATTTGCTAGTTCTAGTTCGACCATCTGGAAATACACAGAATTGAAGTCTAATCACTCAGAAACAGATGGAAATACTTGAAAACAGCTACTATCTTCCCTGTAAGCTAAAACATCCCCTTCTCCTTTAATTGACCTTCATATGCCATAGTTTCAAATCCCCTCAGCATCCCAGTCTTCCCCCTTCTAGGTCTGCTGCAGTTTGTCCATAAATTAGTACAGTTTTTTTTCCCCCCATAAGTCTATTGATGCTTCCAGGAGTCTAAGGGCTTTGCTACATTATAACATCACTATTATTTCCCTGGGTGAAATTATCATACAACAGGATTATACAGTGAGAATCAAAATGCCCCCGTTTTACATACAAGGACCTTTGCCCAAAGGTCACACAGGTAACAAATGGCAGAGCTAGGATTTAAACCTAGCTTGTCTGTCAAATACAGAATTGCTTCAGTTTCTTTAACTGTAAAATAAGGATAATAATAGCACCTACCTCCCAAGGTTGTCATACATATCAAATGAGATAATATTTGCAAAAGGCACTTAACACAGTGGCAGGCAATCATTCTTATTAAGTACTCACTATGTGCTGAGCACTGTATAAGCCCTAGGGATAGAAAAAGAGGCAAAAGACAATCCCTGTTCTCAAGGAGCTTACAACCTAATGGGGAGTCAAAATGCAAACAAATGTATACAAAGCAAGCTATAGACAGGGCAAATAGGCAATAATTAACAGAGGCACTACATTAAATGCTTATTTCATTCCCTTCCCTCATTCTGATGTACTCCATTGCTAAGTATGCAATATTAAAAGAATGGTTTCCAACATATTGGTTGGATCCCCTTGTGGTAGATTTATGTGCAGAAGTAGAGAAGAGCTGAAACCATGAAATAGGAAATCATGGAAAGGCTGCAATCTGAATTACTGGAAGGAGCACCCTTATTAAAAGAGATTACAGTTTCATTATCACATTAGAATAAATAGGATGAGAGGAGAAACCAATTTTCAAATTAGTAATAATAATCATAATAATAATGAAATCCTGAGGTCTGGAGATAGTATTAGTAGAAAACATTCCCAGTCATCCACTAGTTCCATGATGGTGCTTAGATAAAAGCATCCTAATTGTGCTATGAAGCCAGTGCTCCCACAACATTATATTATCTATAGAAGCAACTGAAGTTTACAGCCAATCATAGATATGAAGATTCTGGTGACATAGTAGTCAGGAGAATGGCTCTCAAGTGGGCTGTGGTCCCTGAGGTTATGTATTCTAGAATGGATGGTTAGTGCTTTATCCACAGTTTCCTGTGTTATACTTTATGACTTTAAAGGATACCACAGGGCTTTGACAAGCATGATTTCATTGAAATCATATACGACATATCCTTTTGCCATCTGTATGTTTATCTTAGGCAAATTTTGTTCCTTTTGGGAAAAAAGACATAAGAGGAATGACTGCACAGGCTATTTTATTTCAATGCTAGAAAATACATGAACTTCTAATGAAATATTTTATGTGAGGAAGAGGCAAAAGATGACATATAGTGAATGGAAGCTCAAGTTAACTTAAACATCTAAACACTATATTTTACAACACACACACACACACACACACACACACACATAAATTATGAACTGAAGAATAAAAATTGGCTTGCATGTCTTCATCTAACAGAATGTAAAAATGTAGTTTGAAAGTGAGATTTTCCCAGTGTAAGCAAAACTGGAAAATTATCTTACACAGGGACCATTGCTGGACAAAGAGCTGGGCCCAGAACTGAACAAAAAAAGAGAGTGAGAGAATTTGCAATTGGAAAGTTGTATGTTGTTGTCAACAATTACAAACTTCTATATGAAACAAAAACCAAGCTTCTTTTTAATTCCAGTATCCTTTCAGTGATGCTATATGGTTTCTAATCATGAAACAGAATTATCAAAACTTCAGATGACCTACAACAATGGAGAAACCCATGAGTAAGCATGAATAGGCAGCAGTATACAGTTAACAATAAATAGTATAGGCACAAAGCAGCATAAAATATATCAGAGATGCATGTGGAAAGGGAGGCGGTACAGTGAATAGAGTACTGGTTCTGGAGTCAGGAAGACTCATCTTCCTGGGTTCAAATATGGTCTCAGACACTTACTAGCTGTGTGACCCTGGGGAAGTCATTTAACCATGCCTCAGTTTCCTCATCTGTAAAATGAGCTGGAGAGGGAAATGACAAACCACTCCATTATCTTTGCCAAGAAAACCCCAAAAAGGAGTCACAGAAAGTCAGACACGACTGAAATGACTGAAAAACAGCAATGCCATGTATCAAGAGCTAGGGATAACCCACAAAACCTGCAAGCTGATTTGGTTCTCTGAGGTCTAGAGAAAGGTGCTCCCACACATCTGGTAGGCTTCCTGTGGAGTGCTTAGGAAAGGGTATGGCAATTGAATGGATGCCAAGGGTAAGGGACAGGATGAAGTCAAAGACAACACCAAAGGTTCAAGTCTTGATGGTTAGGAGAATAAATAAAGCAAAAATAAAAAGGTTAGAAGATTCATTAGACTTTTAAGGCAGATACGTCTAATTTTTG